TCGAGTTGGCCCCGACTCATAGCGACCCCTCCTTGGGTTTCCGAGGCAGTATCACTACGGAAGTAGGATTGCCCAACCTTCCTTCCGAGGAGTGGAGAAGCCCCTACTACCCCCAATACTTGGGGTTAGAAAGGACAGTAGGTCAAGGGTGGGCCTTTCTTTATACTTAATTTCTCCAACTCCTTCTGGCCAAACAAGCTCCTGCAACCTACAAGAACCCCTCACTAGGTGAGGCGGCCAATCTAAGAAAGGGAAGGCATGGTGGAGGACAAGTAGCAATTTTGACTCACAGCAGATGAAGAACACTTCTCCCAGTGTCCCAAAGGAAACTGTGCTCACATCGAGCTCCACCTAGTGCTGTCCGCTGCAATCAGAGCCGTGAAAACGATTCAAGGGGTATTATTGGTCCAGGATGCCACGAGTTTGCGAATAGGATCCCCTTTGTCCGCTGGGCGAGCCCGCACACTGACGTGTAGGTACTCGGGCGTCCATCAGGAGGGCCCGAAGCGCGCCAGGACCCAACCAATTTTCTGAGTCTTCTACGCAAACGTTAAGCACCGCCCCCTACGGCGCTAGCATCCTCTGCCCTTTCTTTCTCGCCTCCCAGTGTCTTCCCTCGGCTGTGCCTCCAGCCCCAGCCTCCCTAGACAATTGCCCCACCCTCCGCCAGGCCAAGGACTTGCGTCACGGGGGGCGGGGCCATAGAGTCGTTCGCAGCCGGCCCCGCCCCCGAGCGCCCGTGACCCCGCCCCCTCCGGCCGAAAAGGGGCGGGCTCCACCAGTGCGGGGTCCAGAGTTTTCTCAGTCCCCCCGGGTAGTCTCTCCGCCGCCGAGTCCTGGTCCTCGGGCACTGCCCTCTCCCGCTCCTTGAGCAGATGCTGGGGCTGAGGCGGGCGTACAGAGCGCCATGAAGGGCTGTCGCCTGTCGGGCGCCGAGGCGAAGGGGCTGGCGGGCTGAGGGCCGCGCAGGGCCGAGGCATGTGGAGCCCTGGCGGGAGTCTGCTCCAGGCGCTGCCGCGGCTCCTGCAGCA